ATATATGTACCCGGGCGTATATATATATATACTTCCTGGCTCGGTGTTGCGTTGGATATACACGCATCGTATGCATGTAATATGCTTCTTGCGTACAACAGTTGTACTGTACGCGGAAAAAGTCACGGCGTCGCTGCTTTCGGGTTTATGTATTGCCGCAGATAAGAGCTCCGGTGCAATGTAACCCCTGCTTACTTATATCGTGTGTAAGTATACGTACACCTATGGCTGGCGAAAATCTCGGCCAGGTACGGGGTGTACACAGTTTGGACACGCGTCGCTCGATGCTAAAAATAACGATGATTTATGCTGCTTTTTCGAGGATGAAACTTTCTCTCTCCCCCATTTCTTATCGCCTCGATATATAAGGGGATGGGGTTTCCATGACAAGTACGTACAGTTGCAGTCAGAATAAGAGAGAGAGAGAGAGAGAGACGATATCGATGAAAAATCAATGATGTATACCTACGAAAAAAAAAGAAGAAAAAGAAAAGCTCTAAATATATATATTATTTACTTGTCGTTTCATGTGCGCGCGGCAGAGCGTGGTTATGCTGATGTTCCGCGAGGAGAAGAGCCCGGAAGACGAGATCAAGGCGTGGCAGTTCTGGCACGGCAGGCAACACTCCGTCAAGCAGCGGATACTCGACGCAGGTAAGAGGAGAGCCCCGCGACGAGGAGGAGGAATGAGACGGGAAGAGAGATGAAATCACACGCGCGCGCGACCACTTTTTTTTTTTCTTTTTTTTTTACATATATATACCTGTACACGTTAATGCGTATACGTATATATATATATTTATTGTGTACGTGTCTCGGCGCGGAGACTCTGCATATTATTTCCGGAGGTGTATATAATGAAATGCACACGGGAGGGAAAGCTCATTGTGCACACAAACGGACGGACATGTGCATTAACGGACTCTCTTTTCTCAGCGCGTTGCGTAATTTATTTAATAATAATGCGCCATCATTAATCCCATGATCGTTTTCTCTCTCGTTCGCTGATGTCGTTTGCCCTCCCGCCCCGTGTACCTCGCACTTGTGCGTCGTTACTGGGCCGATGCTCGATCTATTGAACTCATGCACACGCAGCTACGTGAGTATAATCCATGGCACGTTGTTTTAGGCTGCCTTGGTAAGATCGATGTTGTTGTTGTTGTTGTTGTTGTTGTTGTTGTTGTTGTGTCTCGTGTTTTTTAACCATTTTGTTTTACATCTCTTGTTCATTTCATTCGTCACTATAGTCTTAGATGTACTATTATTACTATTATTTTTAATTGCCATGTACATGTACCCCAGATAGTAAAGCATCCGTTATGTATACATATATAATCATTATTTTGTCCATACATGCACAATGTTTCATTCGATATATTCTGTTCGTGTAATATGTCATAATTATTATATACTAGATTTTTTTATGTTGGCACCCTTCTCCCCCTATACATACCTTTTTTACTATTTTAATTTGATTGCAATAGTATACCTACGCGTAGTAATGATATAAAAAAAAAAAACAAAACGAGGGACAAAGATTAAAAGCTGCCTCATTTGCAGACACGAAAAACAGCGTGGGTCTAGTGGGCTGCATCGAAGAGGTGGCGCACAACGCGATCGCCGTTTATTGGAACCCGCTCGAGTCGTCGGCCAAGGTGAGAGAGAAAAATGTCCCTATATGCATGTTACGTTGTTCGACTTTCCAAAAGGGCACTTGTGTTCATTTGCCGCTTGAATTTCCTGATTACAGATCAACGTGGCCGTGCAGTGTCTCAGCACGGATTTTTCGAGTCAAAAGGGAGTCAAAGGTCTACCCTTGCACATACAGATCGACACGTACGAGGAGCCGCCACCCCACACGCACACCTACACGCCACCCTCCCATCGGGGCTATTGCCAAATCAAAGTTTTCTGCGATAAGGTGAGTCATCGTTGTATAGCTTTATACGGTATCAATTTCTTTTTTTCTCCGTTTTTTCGATCAAACAGTACTGATATTGTTACGATTTATGCCTAGATGTATTTTTACATTATCACTAAGCCCGAAATCACGGAGCAGGTTATCCGAAAAATATGAATTTTAAATAATATCAACTCGAGGCAAAGGTCCAATAAATAATTAGAAAATTATATAAGTCACGAAGGGGCAGCCATAATTTATCCGTGTATTTTTTCATCGAGGGGTTATCGCCGCCGCGTTGTACAAAAGCCGATGATAAATTACAATATACGCGCGCAGGGGATAAATGGTAACGTGTATAAATGTGCGCTAAACACAATGTAAGATTAAATGCCGCGGAAAGATACAACGTACGGTGTGTAGTAATGATGATGATGATGATAATAATAACGACAGCAAAGGTGGTCGGTACTATCGCGGTAATTAATCGCGAAAATTACATAACTGCGCGGATAAGCGTTCGGCACCGTATTCCAATGGCCAAAGTGGCGCATATATATATGCATGTACCTACACGCGCGAAATTGCAATCGATTGGTCGATCGAGGCAAGAAACGAATTTTTTTTTTTTTTTTTTGTTAATTTTCTTGCCCGTTTCCAGGGAGCCGAGAGAAAGACGCGCGACGAGGAGAGACGGGCGCAGAAGCGGAAGATGGCAGCTACGGGCCGCAAAAAGCTGGACGAGCTTTACCACGCGGTCACGGAGCGCAGCGAGTTCTACACGATGGCCGACCTGCACAAGCCACCCGTGCTATTCTCCCCCCCGGCCGAGCACTCCATCGACAAGGTAAACCCTCGATTTTTAGCACTATACCTGCTATATATCTGTGATTATGTACGATATTGGTTCCCATGTATTTCCGTACACGTATGAACTCAAAGAGATTGCGTTTGAACTTTTGGGAAAGGCGTAATAAAAAGCACTACGGTCTCGGTTTCGCTGCTTTCAATTATTTTTCAATTAAAACGAAACACGTGGAATCCACGATGCCCTGCTCTCTCCATACGCCAATGCCCCTCAACTAAAACTTACAATCATGTGTTATTAAAACACGCAAGCACAACTGGACAAATTTAACCTGGAGCCGAGCATATAGGAGCAATCGATTTTATTATCATGTAAAACGCGCCTCCGCTTGAACGCTTTTCTTCGTCACAGACTATAGTGCGTAATTGATTTTCAATGACTCGTTTAAAAAAAAATAAAAAAAGAAAAAGAGGATAGAAAACAAAGTCGCAATGACATTTGTATTCAAATCGCGGATTGTTTGCACGATGCATCGTACAACATGCCGTTCTCGACGCTTTGAAAAAAAAAAAAAAAAAAAAAAAAAAAAAATACGGATTTTATTATTTCCTCTCCAGCAAATCTACCCGACTGCGACTCGTAATGCCTTTTGATTCAATAAACGCGCGGGGCTTAATCTCATCTGAATACTCTCGAGTGATTGAATTCAATATTGCAAAGATTGCAACGATCGCCGCTGGCCGCCACCGCGCGCTATCTCAATTTATGCAATGGAAAGAAAAAGCGCCACACTCGCACTATATAAGTAACCTTTGGCGGTATCTTTTCTTTTTTTTCCCCCTCCTATGAAATATTTTCATCGACTACCGACTCGACTCGAGAGTAAAAAAATCACCCACACCCAGAATAGATTATATTCAGTTGTTGCGCATTATGGTAGCAAAATCAAAAAATCTCGGTGCGCTTGCAAAGCAAAAACCACAATGCACATACCCATCCACATATTGATGTAGAGTATACCAATGAACGAAGAAACGAAAAAAAAAAAAATGTTGCAGTTCTCGACGATGGAGTTGTCGGGCTTCTACGGGGGCGGTGGGGGCGGCGGTGGCAACAACGGCGGGGGCGAGACGGACAGCTCGTCCCTGAGCAACGGCGAGGCGGGGGGCCTGAAGGCCGGGGGCAGCCCGTACGGGCAGTCGGCCAACAACCGGGCGAGCTTGCCCGCCCTCAAGTTCCACAATCACTTTCCGCCCGACAACCTCGGCTCGATGCACGACAGCGTCAAGAAGGACTCGTTGCTGATGCAGGTCCAGGAGCTGCAGGGCACGGTGCTCCAGGGGGTGCAGCCGGGACTGGGGCCGGGACAGCTCGTTGGATCGACTCTGGGGAACCGGCTGCACATGCAGCCCCACATGAGGACCGACGCCGAGGAGAGGGTCATGCTTTACGTGAGGCAAGAGTCCGAGGACGTTTACACGCCCCTGCACGTCACGCCGCCCACTGTCCAGGGACTACTCAACGCCGTAAGGACTACTATTGTATACCATTGTTGATGCTTTTTTTTTTTTTTTTTTTTTCTCTCTGTTAACGCACACGTGTTGGACTATACATGTTTCACGTTTCATTGTTTTTGTCTCTTTAACTGTCTTTTACTTTTGTCAGGTTGATCAAACTTAAGGCCTCGACTTTTCTCTTTGACAGCAGTTTACTTTTACCTTCTTACTTGATTACAATCATTTCGTCATTTATCAATCATGTTCTTTTGATGATTTCTCATTACAAAAAAAAAAAAAAAAAAATGTAATAGCTTGTAAAAAGTCATAAAGGAAACTGCTTAATGTATTCTGCACAGGGAACTTCAGGGCCTTATATCGGAGTCTGATGTATATACTCTTCAGTCTCTCAGCGCAGAACGTTTAGGTAATTTTCCTTTATGATTTTCTTACAGACACACCTACTTACCATTGTCTCAATAAATTAACACATTTTTTTTTTTTTTTTTTTTTCACCTTCACGTCAATACTAAACACTTTTTTTTTTATATACAAGTATACGTATATTATAATAGGTAACGTAGAACTTTTACGTACACTCTGTAATATTGGTTGACTTAATTTTTTATGCAAAAAATACAAGTCATCTGAAATGTGAGGAAGCAATAGTAAAAGTAATATAACCATAATATATTGTGCATGTGGTCCTGCTGATCCGCGCCGGAAACCCAGTCACGCAGCGATAATAATGTATTAATAATCTAACAATCGGCTCGTATATATTTATATGTATATGTTGCTAATCGATTAATACACGTAATAAAATATATGCGCATGCAATAATCCTTTTCGCTACAATATAGGCTCAACACAATTAAATTAATCACAATTCGTGGTGGTTATACCTGTATAGCTGCAGCTACACGGATAATAATAGTAATGTACGACAAATAATAATAATAATAATAATAATGATAATAATTGCACTTTACACGCTATTCACAAAACCAAGGCCTGAGAAAAAAGTGGAAAAAAGCAAACGTATCCGCGTTTATTTTTTGAAAGTCTGCAAAATGAACTTGCTGCGACGAAATTTCGTATCAAAAAACCGTGCAAACAAGCGTCGACATTAGATTCGATATTGTATGTTTGTATACAGTAACGGGAAAAAAGTAAAAATCAAAGATGTAGTAAAAGAAAAGCAGGCGCCACAGTTGAAATTGTCTAATGTTCTACTTTTTTCTGTTTTCCAGATTGAGTCAAAGTACAAAATTGCAACCTCGAGTATTAATAACTTATATCGCAAAAACATAAAGGGGTAAGTTAAGTAGAGAATCACCGAAAAACGTAGAAAAAAAAAAAAAAAGTAATAATCCTCGCTCCGCATGTCGCTTCTCTCTCTCACACACACACACACTTGTATACTTATGCGCAATAATATGCCGCACGTCCATTATCCGCTCATCTCTTTTTCCCGATCTTTCTTCGTTTGCACAAAGGTAGCACAACACACGCACACACTCGCGCTCTCTCTCTCTCTCTTCCCTTTTGCACGCCATGTATACTTACTCTTTCGCAAATTTACGCTCGCATGCCGATGGCCGACGCTCATTTTCTTTCCGTCTTGTCCCCGTGGACTCCTTTACTTTCAACGCCAACTTTCCTTGCACGAGCCCGCGGCTGCGGCAACCATAAGAGCCTTCATTTGTCTACGTACTCTCTTCCTCTCGCGCATGCACCGGTATATAATATATGTATAAACGTATCACCGAGCCTCTGTAATTTTTCTTCGCAAATTGCCGCTCTGCGCTACACCCGAAGCTCGTTGCGTTTTACAATCTTTTTTCTTATACCTTACTCTCTTTTTTTTTCTTTTTTTTTTTTTCCACGCGAAAAGGTACGCACGAATATTGAATAACTCGCTCTTTTTTTCCAACAAAATACAATTTAAAAAAGGTTTAAAATTAAAAAAAACAAAAAAGAAAAATGTTTGCATACAACTTTGACTCGGCTTCCTATATATAGAGACGCGCGTATGTATATTCACTTAAACGGCGCTGATAATGACGTCGGCAAACAAGCGCGAGCTTCGGAAACGGCAGTGCAGCGACATTCTCACACGTACTTTTGACTCAATATAATTATATATGTGTTGTACGTACGTATCGCTATTTCATGCCGGTGTACGTGAACACACGCGGCTTTTCGGTATACACACGATACCCGAAATAGATTTCGATTTCATTTCTACTGCCACACATATGTACATAATGGACTATAATTTCAATAGTTGTACTTTTCATTGGAAAAAAAAAAAAAAAAATACCAACTTGACGCGTGTATCGTTGGGCACTTTGCAGAATTACGGCGAAAATTGACGACGACATGATCCGGTACTACGTGGACGAGGACCTGTTCCTGCTGGAGGTGACGCATTCGCGGCTAACGGCCGAGCAGCAGCAGGAACGGGCGAGCCGGAACGGGGGCTCACCCTCCGACCCGTCGGACGGTCTCGAGCCCAGCTACGACGTCACCCTCATCGAGCTGCCACTGGCGCCCCAGCCGGGGAGCATGCCTTCGGCGTCGCCGCACCACCAGGCGGTGGTCCAGCACCACGTCGCGGCTACGTGAGCGCGTCCACCTGACCCCCCCCCGGGGAGTATCGAGCCAGTTCTCGTTGGTTTTGCGATGACGTAGGCTTTGACGAGTCTGTAACTATATATATGTACGCGCGTGGGTGCACATACGGATGACTGATCGGTAAGCCGTGCCAGTTTGCGGATCCGATAAAGTGATATTCATCGACAAGTGAGCGATGCCCGTGGAGAAGAAGGACATTGTTCCGCGGTGCGCGGAGAGCGTTTTTTTTTTTTTTATTTTATCATTATTATTATTATTATTATTTTTTATTTTTTTATCATTACAATTACGTTTAATGCTCTGAATTGTCCCGAGTGATGATGATCCCGGTTTTATGTAGGTGTAAGAAGTTTTTCTTTTTCTATCTCTTTGTTGTCTCACTTTGCCAATAACGTATAGTACAAGTTATGATATTTTTATATGATTTACGACTATTTAGTTGTAATGGAGAAAAGAGGGGAAAAAAAATGAAAAACAAGAAGAAAAAACTTTTGTTGATACGATAAGACTTTATCACCGTCATGACATTTTGTTGGAATATTATATATTGTGGAAAAGAAAAGTTTTTCTTTTTTCTCGATATATGTCGGTTACATCGACGGTACTGTGTTTAATTTGTTTTTTTATTATTATTTTTA